TCCCTCCACCCCTCCCCACCCCCGCGGCCGGAATGGGAGCTTGGTCACGTACGGGCAGGAACGGCTGCCCGAGCTTGCGGAGCGCCACCGTCCCTAGCAGACTGCGCTGAGCGCACGGACGGTGCCCGAGGAGAGAGCAGCCGCGCGCCCGTCTCCTCCGCCGCCGCTCCAGCCTGGGGACAGCAGGCTTGGCTTCGCCTTCTTTTAGCTGCTGGTGCCGGCCGCCGAGCAGCAGGAAGCGAGGTGCGTCGAAGCCGCGGACTCGGGAACTTCTTTCGAGGCTTTTGCACGAATTCTCTCCCCCTTCAGCAAAGGCGTTCTTACTTTGCCAGGGCCCCAAACCAAGCCGAGCGGGGCCGAGGGATGATAATATTATTATACTTAATAATAATCACTTCTTTTTTAAATTCCTGGCCTGCCAAGGCTTCTGGAGGTTTGTTTTTGTTGGGAGTGCCCTCTCACTTGCAAGCACTCGTCCTAAGAGCGTTAGGGGTTTACTTCTGAGGACGGCGCTCTCTGGGATGGGGTCGTAAAGGGAACAAAAAGAGGTCCGGGTGGGGGGCTCGGTTGGCTTGGAGCGCTCGAAGGAGGAAGAAAGCAGAGCTGAAGGTGGGCGCACGGCGAGGCGTTTTCCAACCCACCCTCTTCGCTCAAGCGCGTGTCCTTCTGGTTCCTGTTGTCTTCCCGGGCAGGCGTCTCGGGGGCTCCGAACGTGCGGCTGGATCCCGAGCGCCAGAAGCCTCCCTTTGAGCTGGCTGGGACTTGCTGCGAAGTTAGCGTGCATTGCTCAGTAAGGGGTCGTAGTGCAGCTGGGACCAGAGAGAGAGAAAAGCTTGAGCCGCTTGTCTGAAAGGGGACGGTTCCGTCCCACCCTCAGAAAAAGTGTGCTAAACGTAGAAGTGAATGAGATCTAGCGCCTTCCAGAACGGAGTCTCGGAATCCCCTTCGATTGTTTTGGCAGGAACGCAACAATAGTATGTTAATTAACGCAGAGCGCATAATCTGGATCTTTCGGCGCATGAACAAATCTGGATTAGAGAACCCCACAACTCAAAACAACGCTTAGAAAGAATGCAAGCAAAACCGTACGCCCACCGCTGTTTCGCTGCTTGGATCCATGTCAGGCGAGAGGAGCAGCCTATTCTCTGTTGAATAATAGATCTCCTTGGAATGAGATCCCTTGTAGACAGTATAACGGGGAGGGGACCCCTTTTTAATGATGGCGCATAATCCTGGAATTGTAAAACTTCAGGAAGTGTAATGAATGAAGTGCTGTGTGTCAGGAGATGGTGAGCAGGAAAGGGACTCATTCCGTCTGAGTAATCTTGCGTGCTGCATAAACTTGCTAGGCAGGGAGGCAATTTGGTTGGCAATCTCTCAGAGAGAAACTATTTGCTCTAGGATAGATGGCCCTTCGTGCTTATTTTGGGCGTAGCGTGCTTGAACGCTCTCGCGTATCCTTTTTTCGTTATGGGAATTGTGCTGGAGCTGACGGAAGGACAGAGTACAATGACTAGAGTTTTTAGCATAAAGCAGGTGTAACTTGATAGTAAAGAGAAGATGGAGGGGTTCGCTTTAGAGCAGCTGATTAACTATTTATAAAGTAATCTTGGGTTCCGTGAAAAATGAACCTCTGGTCCTGGAAAATGGATGGGCTGGTTTGTTCGCCAAAGCAAAACTTTCACGAATCCGTTAGATAAAATTAAAACAAAAACAGCCCTGTAAACAAGCCCACCAAGGTTACTAGTTCCCAAGAGGCATGAATAAAGTGTCTGTCTGCTCAGCCTGGCAGTGGAACGGATGGCCAGTTCAGTCTTTTGTACGGTAGCCTGGCACAGCTCTGTGCTGGGCCTTCAGGGAGGCATCTGTCTTCTCTGCTGGCACAGAAGGATGGGGAGCCTGCCTTCCCTTTTGCTGGCTTGCCTGGGCCCAGCATTAATGCCATGCCCAAATCTGCCTTGCAATTTCTCAGAAGGGTTTCTTCCCCAGCAAAAGTGGCTCCTCTTTTTCTGTCTTACAAGGGGCCCAGGAAGTTCTTTTGAACTTCTTCTGGTGGAGTGTCCAGTTTCCCCTGTTGTTGGAGATGATTGATGATTTACAGGACTGCTAGCAGCGGTCGCATTTTCTGTGTGGCGCATCTTTCCATCCTTCTGAAGCCTGCCTGGCTGCCCACATCTCTCAATCTGAACATCCCAGCAGGAAGAGTTCCTTGGGGATTTAATTGAGGCTTGGAAAACCAAAGAGACTGTCGGCAGCTGGAAAGATGACGGGGCGAGGCAGGACTGTAGGCCACCTTGTAATTAAGGAAGTGCAAGAATACTCCACCCATGAGAATTTAACTGAAATTCTGTTCTCCTCTGAAAGCAAATGTTCATGCAAATTCCCTTTTGTCAAATTAAAAAAGACCTGGGAGGAAAAATGCAGAAGAATTTTTCGGCTTTTATTGTGTATACATTCTTGTATGTAATTTCTTCTTTCTTGTAGCCACCAGGCTTTGTACTGCTTAATATACACAGCCAGTGAAGCAGTTAAAAAGAGCTCCCCCCCACCTTATTTTAACTAGTATTTTAACTCCCTCCCCAGGTTCTTGCTAGCAGAGAATATTTCCAAACTTTAATTTTTGCATGCGTGCAGCTGCTGTTTCGCCTTTCCTGGCTGCAAGTCAGCCCTGCGGTACTTGGTTGAGCCCGTAGGTGGCAGCACGTTTATTTGCTGTGTCATTTAGCCAGCAACAGCCAGGGTTTGTGGAATGTGATTCAGACAGAATGACTGGCAGTATGTGGGAATATGAAACTGCCGAAGAAGCTTGGAGGAAGAACAATTGGCAGTTCTGAAACCAGTGTGCACAAGGTCTCTTTTTCAAAAGGGCCTTTTGAAAGAGTTTCACATTCCCACATGCTCTTAGTCATTAATTCTGAATGTGGCAACTTGCAAGGTCATCTGTGGAAGGAAAATGACTCTTTTCCTGTTATCCGGGATGAATTGGGATAACCAACTGGTGGGAGGCATGTTTGTCCTTGATCTGCATTAATCTGTGAAAGATCAGGAGAAGGAAGGAAAACAGTGAACACATCCAAGGGGATGTTAAGAATCCAGGACAGTCTGTCCTGGGTAAGTAAATGGGGAGATGTGAGCAGAAAAGGTAATTTTAGTGTCTGTTCCAGAAGTGCTCTGTTTAGGGATTCAGGGAAACATGAATATGTTTACTGGGGTCTTAGGTCTTCAGTTTTTAATTGATTTCAGGTTTTTTATCCAGCCCCAAGAATTGGTGGGAGATAAACTACTTTTTTATTTCAGGAATCTGGTAGCACCTTTTCTGACCAGCACATTTGATGGAAGGGTTAATAAAATGTGTCAGAAGAGGTGCTACCAGAGTCCTGGTTCTTTGCCACCATAGACTTAACACAGCTCTCCTCCTATAATACCTTTTTATTTTGTTTACCTGTAGGTCTTTAGGACTTGGAAAGTGACTGAACAGGGTGGGCCCAGGAGTCACAGAACCCCCAATGGAAACTGAAATGGAATCTCCGTGTGCAGTCCAGCCAGTTGCCTGCCAGGAAAGAGAACACCCTGATCCTCCAGAGGCTTTTCCTCCATCTGCAAGGGTTCCTGGAAAGATACCACCAGTCAAGCCATGCTTTAAGAAGAAGCAGCAGATGCAGAAAAGGCTGGATTCAGAAGCACTGAGGGCTCTGAGGCCTATCTTCACTAGCTTGCTTGGCACGGGAACCTTGGATGGAATTTTCGTGCCCAGGGGACAGAATAGTAGCCATAGTAACTTATGTGAACCTGTTGCAAAAAAGAACTTGGGAATTGCAGCTCCGTGCCCACAACCAGATAACAGTGTAGCTGCCTTAGTGCCAGGAGCTCCAGCAGTTCAGGGACAACTATCTGATGGACATCTTGAAGAGGAGGCCCAGTCACAGGAGCAGAACTTCCCCTCCATTACCTCTCCTGCTAATGAGCCATTCCAGGACAGCTGCTTGCATGCTGCTTCTAATGCTGCTGCTGCTACTGCCCTCCTTGCATACCCTGGCAAGATACTTGAAGGTTATCCATCTGGGATGCCCCTGAGTAACAACCAGTGCCTGCTCCAGTGTAACGGGAATCCAGGTGATAAGTTTGGAGCTGGTCTTTTCCAGAACAAAAGTGAAGACGCTTCCCTTGACCTGGTGTTTGAACTTTTGAATCAGCTGCAATATCATACCCACCAGAAGGATGGAATTGACATCTGTGTGCACTTTCTACAAGGCATGTGCGTGTATGGCAGTGATTGCCCCAAGCATCACACTGTTCTGCCATATCACTGGCAAGCCAGGAGGACCGCTACGCAGGTGTGGCAAAGTGTGACAACCGACTCCCAGGAGCATCTGGAGAGGCTGTACTGCAATCCAGACAACGACAAGGTCAAAATGAGATACCGGTAAGTCTTTAATATTATTATTGTGCTGGTGGGAGCTGAACAAAAAGTAGAATTTAGAATGGGCACAAAGGAATCTTATTAGAGCTGTAAAACGTGTGTAGTGGAACAAAACAATCCATGTCAGGTTAGGGGCAGATGATGTACATGTTGGGGAACAGGCTCAAATGTACCAGCTTCCCCACCTTCCCCCATGTTACCTTCTATTCTAGAAGAAATTATGTG